ACATGCATACACAATATACAACATATAACATACCTGCACACAACCTACATATACAACACACATAACACATCCACACATAGCGCACATATACAAACTGCATATGCAACATGCACAACATCAGTGTGAGCACACAGCATAGCACATGCAACACACATACACAATATACACACATAATGCATACAACACAATGCATGTGTGCGTGTACAGAGCATGCCACATAGATGCACAGTGCACGTGTATGCACACAACACAGGCAATGCGGTACATGTGTGCACACAACACAGCACACATAGCATATATAATATACATAACACACACACATACATCCTACTTCCTATGTGCTCAAGGCTCCAAGGGAAAGTGGAGTGGGGTCTGCCCTGGCTCTTGCCCTAGGTGCAGGAGGCCAACTTTGAGACAGGTGCAGGTAGATTAACCTGGGGTCTGGCAGGTAGCTGAATGGGAACTGTGGCTCAGGAGTGACCCCAGCCCATGCAGCGGGAACTGACAGAGGGGGAGGGCTGAGGAGACCCCGACAATGTACAGCTGGTGGATTGAATACCCATCAATTGGCCAGGCTCTTAGACCTTGTCTGATTGAAGACTCATGAAGGCTGTGGCCCATCGGCTTTTCAGCCCCCTGGCCCAAATTAGCCGAGTAGCCTTGGGCAACTCTCTTAAGCTCTGAGCCTCGGATTTTTGTCTACAAAATATGGATACTGTCAGGAAGAGTCATGGTCAAGGAAGGTGATGTACACAGCAAGCATGGTTCCTGGCCCCAGTAGGCACTTAATATACGTCATTTTCCCTCTTCCCTCTGGGTTTGCCTGTTCTGGGGACAGTTGTGCCTTCCCCAGGAGGAAGCTGCTACTCACCACCCTCCTTCCTCTTAGTGGTGGGAAACCTTGTGTCCAGGGACTCCCTGTTCTGCTGGACTTTGAAGAAAAAGAGAGAATGTGGGGCTGTAAGATCACATGGAAAATTGAGGGGGCTGGTTACTGAAAGCCCTCTCAGGGGCTTATTCCTGGGAAAGGAATTAGGTTAGCTCAGGGCCACCTCCACCGGCCAGATTCTATGGGTGTAGTCCCTGATGTTGTCAGCTCCACCTTCCCAGTTCCCTGGTGTCCTGCCAATGTGCTAATCAGCCAGTAGAAAGCCTCGGCAAGCCATTAGCCCATGAACCAGCAACTTCCTCCAGGTGGCCCTCCCTGAGCCTGGGGCCCCCACTCTCCCTGCCCTGCCCCCAGCACACCTGCCCCACCTTCCACACTGAGCTCTCTGCACTGTCTCTCCTCCACAGTGGTGTTTGGCCAGTTCGCCTTCTTCCACACGGCCCTCAACGACGTGGTAGAGGTGCACGACGGCCACAGCCAGCACTCCCGGCTCCTCAGCTCCCTCTCCGGCTCCCACACAGGTACCCAGGGCTCAGCCAGCATGGGGACAGCGGCAGGCTGGGGGCATCACGGTCAGCTATAAAGAAGGAGGCTCTGGAAGCATGACGTGGCCAGAGGTGAAGCACACAGCCTTGTGTTTCTCCTGGTGCTGGCGCTACCAGGCCAACTCCTGAGAGCAGAGCTGAGGCTTCACCAAGGCTGTGTCCACACCGCCACCAAGTGGTGCAGCATTCCCCTGTTGGTTTATCAGACTTCTGATTTTTTTCTAATTAAAAACACAATTGCATTTTCATTATAAAAAACTTAGGGACAAAACAAAATAACAATAGAGAGGATTAAACTACAGACCTCCCGAAAGAGCCATTGATAATATGGAGTGTATTTAGTCCCTACAGCTACTTAGACCTAATCTTTCACATATTTTATTGAACAAACAATATACATATTTTTATTGAAATATTCACTGTGAGCTTTGCTCTGTCATTTTTTCCTTCTAGAATAGGATTTTAAATACCGCATAATAGTCTCCCACAGAATTATTTAACGTTGATGTAATGAATTCCCTCTTACTGAACATTTGAATTGTTTCTAATTTCTCGCTCTTATGGTTAGTAATTCAATGTATCATACACATAACTTTATACACTTCTCTGACCTTAGACTATCTCAAAGGAGAATTAAAGGATCTGCGAGATATTTAAGGCTTTTTATACAGATTGGCAAGCATCCCTCTGGAAAGACACTGTCACTTCATTTACCAACAATGAGTAAGAGGGAATATTTTATTCTCATAGAAACCAAGTAATTTAAAAAAACACTGTCATCAGTTTGAAAAGGGAAAATGGTATCTCATTTGCTTTTTCATGACAGCTAGGTTAACCTTTTTATAATGTTTATTGACTCACGCATGTTTTATTTGTGAATTTGTGTCCATTTTTTTATTAGCATTTATTTTCTTATTTGTTGAATAGAGGTCCATATTTAGTATAAACAAACTTCATTATATGCTATAAAATGCTTTACCCTCCAGTTTTTCATTTGCTATATGATTTTCTTCAGGGTACTTTAATGTTAGAAAATGTAAGTTTCCCACAACATCAAATCTATCAATGTTTGCCTTTATAGTTTTCTCCTTTGCTTTTACGCTGATCAAATAAATAACCCTCTGCGTTTTCTTTTACTTCTTAATTTCATTGTATAGCTGTAATACCTTTAGAATTCCTTTTGATTATTTTTTATTTGATCTAGGGAATCTAATCATATTCTTCCAAATATAGTTCATTTGTTGTCCTAGCAGAATTTTCAAAATGCCCTATTTACATATACTAAATTTTTATGACATTAGGGGTTAAGTTTGTTCCTAGATTTTTCTTCCATTTGCTTTAAGTTCTATTTATTCTTTTTTTTATTCTTCATTTCTGGAAAGAGTCTGTTTATTCTTGTATCAGTTTTAATAATGCAATCCATTTATTCTGCTATAAGTTTTCATTAAATTAATTTTAATTTGATTAATTGTTATAAAGTTATAAAGTGTTCACTATGGTAATAATTTTAAATATATGGTCCTAGAAGTAGCCATGGTCATTCTTTGCTTTGAGTTTTTTATTGACTGTTCTTCCTTACTTTTGCCTCCAGATAAAATTTAGAAATAGTTCGTCCAGTTAAAAGCATTGCAGCAAATTTTGACTGGGATTTCATAAAACATATCGATTAATTAGAGAGAACGCACACCACTTTATAATGTTAATTCATTCTTCCCTCCTAGGACCTTGGGGTGTCTCCCTGTTTATTTATCTATTATAGCCTTTGGAAAGGTGCAATCATTTTCACTTAGGTAGTATTCATTTTTTAACTTTATTCCTAGATATTCCATGAAGATTTTTGTTGCTGTTCTGAACGGATCTCTTTTTCCCCTGCTGTATTTTCTAACTTCTCTTTGCTAGTACATCCCAAGACTGGTGTTCTTGGCATGCTCATTTTGTAAAGTCACTGGACTCTTCATACCAGAACTAACCCATTCTCCTGACTCCCCTGGGCGAGAGGTAATATCATCCACAAATAAATGTGTCTCCTTACTTTATTTCCTCCTGTTCAGTGGTTATTCTTTCCTTTTCTTCCATAGTTAGTGGTCTATTCAGGTATATCACTTTAATAAAAATCTACTTCGTAATTTCTTTTAAATTTAGCAAAACGGTTTATACAGTATACGACGATGATAGTTAATCTCCTTTGTATTAGTGGCCATACCCTTATTTATTATCCTGAATGTTGCCTCAATAGTCCCCTTTTTTCTCAGCTGTATCAGATTTTCTGTGCTTTTATGTCTGTATGTTCTTTAAATTTTGATTGCTCTAATTTATCTGTTTCTATCTATTCTCCTTGTGGAGTTTGTTGTTATTTTCTTATTAACCTCTGCCTTTATTTCCTAATTTCCTTTCTCCTTTTTTTCTTCAGATTATTTTTTCCTCTTACATTAGCTTCTTGATTGGAGAGCCATGTTTATTTCTTTCTCTGTGCGATAAAGGTGTGTTTACAGTAATATATTCACCTCTAAGCACAGTTTCAGCCTCATGCCATAAACTTTGATATGTACTATTTTCGTCATCATTACTTCCTAAATAGCCCATGATAACATGTGTTGTTTTAATCTATTTGCCCAAGAGTTAGTTAAGAATGCCTCTTCTTTTCCCCCAAGAGCACAGATTTTGTTCTGGTTGCATTAAACTTGTGTGTTAATTTCTCATTTTATTGCCATCTGGTTACCAGGAGAATATGAGCTGGTTGGAGATAAGATCATTTCTACTTTTTTTTTTTGTCCAGGGCTGGGTTTGAACCCACCACTTCTGGCATATGGGGCTGGCGCCCTACTCCTTTGAGCCACAGGTGCTGCCCAGATCATTTGTACTTTGGGGGTTAAATGAGATGCTCTCAATAGCCACGAACATTCTTTTTCCCAGTTCCTTAAGTATCTTAGAAGAGCATGAGTTCCCTGTAGGGAAGTTTAGGTTCTGCAGTCACTCTACTCAGCTCCAATCTTAGCTCCAGGCATACTTGCTTGCAAGGTGACTTCAGGCATAGTACTGGATCTGTCTGAGCCTCAGCTTCCTCATCTGTAAAATGGAAAGAATAAAATGTCTGCCTCCTAGAGTTATTGTTAGGAGTAAGTGAGCTTTGTAAGAGCATTAAATCAGTCTTACTTAACTTTGTGACTGAAATCCATTGTATCAGTGATTCTCGATGAAGCGATCTTTTTAATACCACCAGGCCACAGGTACACACCCAACCGAGAGTATATATAAATCAGGATGTCCTGGGGTAGGATTCTTTTTCACCTCTTAATAGGTAGGTAGGTAGTAATAGAGATGTGTAAAGTATGGCTGTAGATATAGATATATAAGAATAGATGCAGGACCTACAAGAAAAGAGACAGGTGTACATTTAGGACCTGGAGGTCCTACTTGTGGATGTATGTTAGGTATGGACATAAGTGTACAGGATCCAAAGAAGTAGAAAGAAATGTAGATAGACAGGTAGAAGTGAAAGACCTAAAGATGTCAGTATCATGTACCAGACAGGAAGTCTCCTTCCTTATTTGGACAAACCCTGACAATGAGCCGTGGGTAGGAATGAGAATGAACAGTGTCCCTTGTCCCCAAGGTGTGGATGAGTAGGGGAAGTTTCATGACCACCACTCAGCCATCTTTGTTTTGTTTCCCTGTTTGATACATCAAAGACTGACAATGTTGTGTTAAAATATCTCCCACTGCAGTTGCGATATTTTGTTATCTTGCCTTTCTCACAATTTTCGTATCTGTGTTTACCTTATAGGTCTTCTTCCCTCGTTTTCTCCAAGAGTCTTTCTCTCTTAATCGGAAGTTTGCTCATGGGCTTTATAAGCAAAATGTTTGCTCTGATCTCTGTCATCTTCTTTTGCTCTTTCTGGGTTTTTGTTTGTGTTGTCGTGACTTGGCATCCTTGTTTTTCCATTCATACCGGACCCATCTCTGGTTTCTAACTTTTCCCAGGTGTATTTCCACTGTTATAGGAATGTTGTGAGTGATTAGTTTCAAATTGCGGAATTCCTCCCCAAAGACAAATTGTTGCATTTGCATTTCGTTTTGTTACCTCACTAAGAATAGCTGTTATACTTTCCTGGTCCTATTGCCTCCTGCTAGTTCTTAAACTCCCTACTTGAGGTTTGGTGGGCTTGCTTTTAACTAAGCTTCATAACTGCAGTACTCTCTGTCACCTTTTGACATATATAAATGACATATGCCTGCCTTTTGACATATATAAATGACAACTTGATTGCACATCAAATTATGTGTCACAAAACTTTTATCTTTCAAAGCTGTAATAAATGTTTCACTGGGATCTTAGGCTCCAGCCTGATTTTAGTCCTTGTGAGTAACCTACATTTTTCTGTCTATATGATTTTCATAGTTTTCTTTGTTTTTAAAATTAAAAAGCCTTCTAGGATATGTTGGAGTAGAGGTCTCTCTTCACTAATGAGATCCAGCAGTTGGCAAATCTTACTTCAATCTGAACCTGAAGTCTTAGGAAAGGAATCTTCTTTCTTAAATTATTTTTTCCCCCTTCCATTTCTCTGTCTTCTCTCTCTGGGATCCTTGATATATACATATTGGATTTGTTCATCTCTCTGCCATGTTGCTCGTCATTTCTTTCATTCTTTTAATCTCTTTATCCTTTTTCTGTGATTTCTGGAGAATTTCCCAAATTTCATCTCCATGTCACTGTTCCATTTCTGTAAAATCCCGCTGCCCTGTGGTAGCATTTCTCATTTCTTGGTGGTTTTTATTAATCTTAGGTCCTTCTTCCTCTGCCTTCACAGATACGATGCTCGATTTAATCTTGTGACAATCATGACTGAAAATCTGCCGGGACGTCTCCCTGTTCTTTGTTTTGATTCACATAGAAATATTCGCTCTGACTTGGCAGAGCGCTCTCCTTCCTCAAAATTGAAATCTTCTCCTATGTCCAGTGATTTTACTAAGGGCTTTCCCATGGCGCAGGAGGCTTGTGTACATATCCAGGACCAAAGCCAACGTGGGTTCTGGGAGAGACCCTGGGGTCCTATCTGCCTCTGTCAGGCTAAGCTATGCGAGGGGAGAAAAGTTAAGTTTCACCCTGTTCACATCTGTTGGGAGGAGGAGCTAGAGATGGCAGTGATAATGAAGGAAGGCTTTGTCCTCATGAGTTTCTTTTTGCTTTGGCTGCCAGAAGTTAGCAGGGGCAGTGACTCTTAGCCAGGCTCAACCATCTGGGTCATATATAAATCCCAGGGTGCTTTGGAAAGGGCTCTCTGCTCCCATGGTCAGTAGCATCACATGGACCTCCACCGGTGGACCTCCCAGGGGCCCTTAGTGGAGCCCTCATTGCAATGGAGACGTAGCCTGACTCTCTGTGGCCCCGACTTCCCTTCTGGGAATGGGCTCATGGCCCTCTCAGGGGTTCAGAGAAGCAACATGGAGAGTGGCCATGCCACTGCCTCCACCGTGTCCTCCTTAGGCTTCTCCAAGAAGGTGTCTACACTCCACGGCTGAGGCTCCACTTGGAGCTGTCTCTTCCCTTTATCTTCCGCTAAAGAGGCTATCTGGCTCCCCTAGCTTCCCCCAATTCCTCTGGTATTCACTGGGTAACAGCACATCCTGTTTTGCCTGGGGCAGTCCCAGCTTCGATTTAATTGTGCTAGCATAATTATTAATAGCACTTCCTTAGACTCTGAAAAGCCGCCTAGTCTGAGCAGTGAGTTACTGTATAGAATAGCTCTGGTTATCCGTCATTTCACAGGGTAGAAGGGGGCATGGGTTGGGAAAGGCCAATTGCTCTTAGACAATCCCATCACCCATTTTCCCAGCAGCGGCTGCCATTTTTTTTTTATCAGATTGATATCAGTTTTCCAAGTAAATCCCCAAGTTCGGCTCGGTAATAGTCACTGTCTCCATCCCTGTGGCCCTACACATGTTTAGCAGCTGTCTTCTCTCTAGCACGTCATTTCATCTTTCTGAACCTCTCTTTCTTGTTTTACTAAATAAGCGTATGGAACTCTGTCATGCCAACCTCACACTGGCCATCAGTCAAGTTAAGACAATGGATGCAGAAGCCTTCTATGAAGTGTAGTAAATATGTGAGGTTTTATTTCAGGAAGGCCTGGAATGTGGACGGGATTGCTGCTGCATGGGGGCCTGGCAGCCCCTCCTTCCTGGCTGGGATGTTATCAGCTGGTCCCAACTGCTGTTCTCACTGTCTTCCTCTCCTTCTCGCCCCTTATCTCGGCAGGAGAATCACTGCCCTTGGCCACCTCCAATCAAGTTCTCATTAAGTTCAGTGCCAAAGGCCAAGTACCAGCCAGAGGTTTCCACTTTGTCTACCAAGGTATGCAGGACACGGACGCTAGGGGTGGAAAGGCAATCTCAGTTCTTAGGGCACTTGTTGTCCAAGGAAATAAGGATCTCAGACCCCTCATGTGAGCCTCTTTCACAGGGTGCTTGGGGACAATTACTAGTTTGTGGGGCAATTTCCCATAATTCTGTTTAAGTTTATACATTTGCTTATCCAACAGACATTTCTTAAACCAAGTTCTATGTCAAATGAGGGAGGAAATCAGACATGGGAACCTAATTTCTTCCCTCTTCCAGCCCCCCTCCCCGCCCCAATGTCTAGGACATTCCAGATGTCACTGGGGAGAGGGGGCCTAACCCAGGCCTCTTCTCTAGACTGTGGCTCATGGAGTTTGGTTTTGTCTGCAAAGCACAGTAAAGGTATGGGGAGATATAGACTTTGAAGTGAGGTAGACACAGAGCTGAATCTCATCTCCCCCACTTTCTAGCTGGGCACCAGCAACTCCACGTCTCAGAGCCCCAGTTTGCTCACCTATAACATGAGGGTAATAACAGTACCTCACTGATAGGATTAAAAGAGAGTTTACAAAGTACCTGGCATCAAGCAGCTGACCTTAAGTTAGTCCTCTCTCTTACTGGTCCAGAAAGGCTAAGTTTGCAGCATCCTGGCTTTTATTGGCAGCAGGACCTCTGCCCTTGTCCAAGAGAACATCCACATTTTCAGGGTTCAGGATCTCTTCATTTGGCTCTGACCAAAATGAGCTGCAGGGGCAATCTTCACACAGGTGCAGGGGCAGTCTTCCCACAGGTATAGGGACAATCCTCCCACAGGTGCAGGGGCAGTCCTCCCACAGGTGAAGGGGCAGACCTCCCACAGGTGCAGGGGCAGTCCTCCCACAGGTGAAGGGGCAGACCTCCCACAGGTGCAGGGGCAGACCCCCCACAGGTGCAGGGGCAGTCCTCCCACAGGTGCAGGGGCAGTCCTCCCACAGGTACAAGGGCAGTCCTCCCACAGGTACA